GGTTGGGGGGGGGTTAAACAGAGACACACTTTTACTTAAACCTTGGTCATACACATTTTTTTAGGGTTAATATTGCTTAATTCCAAAACCTGATGCTGCAGAAACAGCAAAGTAAAACAAAAGATGCTAAAAAGCAGTGTGCAGCGTGCTCCCGCTAATGTAGCCTCCGCCTGCGCAGGCTGCGCCTCGCCCTCCTCAAGATATTTTTAGTCGGTGAACATCCTTCCTCAGGTTCTTTTTAAAATAATTTTGATTAGCTCATCATGTGACCTCAAAACGATAGGCCTCCTCAGTGCTGCAGGCCCCTTGGCTTCAGTAAAGATAAGGCCGTGCATTAGTGCAGCCCAGTCCACTGTAAAGCTGGCAACATGCCTGCACCGTCTCCAGCAAGATGTGAGTTCAATGAATGATTGACTCAACTGTGAGGTCAGGAATAAAGAGCAGAAGCTTGTATTAAATAATTGAAACATGCAGCAAATATGGAGTGTGTACACACTCCAGGACAGAAAGACAGTGCACAACAAAACCTTTCTCTGTTTTTTCCATCAAATTTATCAGTTTTCACCAGTGATTCACAATGTTTTGTTTGTCTGTTGTGTTTTCAGTGAACTGTATCCCCACAATGGGTGCCAGGTTCAAATCATCAGCAGAAACTCATCCCGTCATTCTGTCGTACAAATGCAGAGCTGTAAAAGAATGCTAAAACAGGAGGAAACCACAAGGTAAAAAAAGAACTTCACCCTGTGATCTACTGACTTCTATGACACCAACCACTCAGTACTTTCCATCTTTAGGTGCTATTTCAGACACGTTTCGTCAGAGTGAGACCATTTTATCTAGTTTAAATGTTTCTGCTCACATTTTCAGTCTAATGAGTTTTCTGATCATCTTTAACGGTTCGGATGCCAACATTTTGTCTTTATTTTAATCTTAGGAACACACAATTTCAAAGCAGAGAAGTCCCACTGATGGATGTAATCTGTTCTTTACGGCCAGGGTGACGGAGCATATTTCACTGATTTTAGATCTGATTTTATCATTCCAGACGACGACTGAGGACGTCAGCTGGGTTCAAAATAAAAACTCAGTATTCAAGGATGTTAAAGCTTTGATGGTTTCTGCTGATGTTTAGAGACTAATCAAAAATCTATCCTCTTTTAGGATCAAGGACAGTCGAAATAGCCAGGATTTTATATCTGAGGGTAAACTAAATCAGATTTTAGGAAGGCAGATTGGAAGGTTAGAAAAAAAGTTCATATTCCAGGTGTTTTTTTGTGTTTTAATGACTGCTTGTTTCTTGAGCAGATTCTTTCAGTCACAGCAGATATGTTGTTTCTAGATATTGTCTGGATTTCTTTTCTCCTTAATATTGTATTTATGTAAATGTTGCTGAACCTGGCCTGTGTTWCAGACATGGTGAAAAGTTATGCTGGGCTCTTTGGTTTTGTTTAATTTGCTCCGAGTCTTGGAGTCTAAGGAGTTTGGCTCTCGATGTTGGTTCTTTGTGCTTCAGTTTGTGGACGGATCCACAGTTTGGATTCCGCTGATGAGCTGAGGAAGCATATGTGCCGTGAGAAATCTATCAGTATGCAGAGAACGAAGGTTCCTGATGGTCTGCCCTTGGGGTAAAGGGACCCGGACACCTCACTAGATGCTTTAAAGAAAATTGATGAAAGACCTTGAAATGTATTCTTCAGTTAGTTGTGATAGGGCAAGAAAAGATGTTTCTAAAACTAAACATCGCAGCTGCTTGTGAACACTGATACAGATAAGGCAGAATGCACAAATGTGAGATTACGATAATATTCCACAGATAGATGGTTTAGGTGTGTAAAGAGGAAATATGTTAACTCTGGAGCCTGAGCAGACTTGACCTAATCAAAGAATCTCAGTAGATTCTTCACCAACACTGGGAACATCTGGATTCCAGCATCTCTCTCAGTGTGTGTGTTAATCTGCACCTTCATATGTCCTAAACCCCGTGACACGAATCCAGCCGAGACTATCATTTTTCTTCAGTGCTCTGCTCGATGTGTCAGACCACAGAGAATTTTATGAATGATAATACTGAAATCTATGAGGGTAATATATAACGCAGTGTGTGCGCTGCTTTCTTCCATTCCCCTGAGATGAGTGGGCAGACACAAAACCGAGATCATCTTTATGCATTCCTGTCTGGCAGGATTATTGCTCCAAAATACCTTCGTTTTTTTATTTTTTTATTTCTATTTTTTATTTTATTTTTTGTGTGTGGGGGGGGGGTTACAGCAAAAGGGAAATAAATGAATACAGGAGCAGAAATGAGTATCTGTATCACCACTCTGAGACAGAAATAAACAAACTTTATTGTTTGAACAAAGACAGTTATGTAAAGCTTCACCTATTAGGTGTAATTCAGATTACACCTACAGTTTAGAAATTTGTTTTAAGCAAGGGGCCAACAGGTAAACTTATGATTCTCTTTTAAACATTCTACAACACAATTCATCACAGATGCATAATGCTATAGTGATTTACTGTAAATTAAATCATTTTACTGTATTCTGACACGCTTAATGGTGAAATTGTGGTAACTACAGCAGCTGGTGTATAGGAATTAGATGTTTCAAATAAAACACCATAACATGTTTCACAGAAACTTTCTTTAAGTTTACAAAGTTTACATTACATTTCACCTGGTAATGCAAAAGTGATGTTTTTAAAAAAAATGTTTATAAAAGGGCATTCTTGTGGACGACTATGAAATTTTAAAAATTGGGGATGTTCTAAAACAGCAGCAACCATCTTTGATTTTGGCCCCTCTTGAACTAGTAGTGAGCTCAAGCTGGTCTTGTTCAAACTAAGGTTGTTCAAAGTGAAATCAATAACTTTCAAACAGCAGCACAYTTCAAAAGATCTGAAATATCCCCTGAAGTGTTACTATAATTAGCTTAAATAAAATAGATACAACACCATGCCATGGCTTTAAATTGCTACAAGATCGAGTCAACAGATCATTTTTAAAGGTATCAGATTTTTTAATCCTGCAGATATCTTGTTCTATATGCTTTATAACTCTCCAGTTTATTCATAATATTATAGCATGAAGACATTTCAGTCCACCTTCTGTTGACGTAGTTATTGTCAGAGGAAAAAATATATAAATTACTCATCCACTATTTACACAATCGTTAAAAACCGGTGTGTGCTGGGACACTGCCAGAATCCAGCTCATTAATATTTATGCTGCTGCACATGCAGAGCAAAAATAGAAAATATATCCAGTTGTTCTTTACCATGAGATGCAAACCACTCTGTTTCATGCAATATGAATTACAGGCGTGGAAGATCTTTCTAGTCAATTAATCAAAACCGTCCTTTTTCCAAAAAAAGTTTTGTTATCAATACCAGAAAAATAATAAGAAAATTGCTTTAAATAAAGACAAATACTGTGTACTAAGCCAGTGTTTATTCTTGTTTTTAAGAAGCTTTAAATGAGTTGTTTTTATTTTATTGGCTTTTATTATACATTGTAATTTTTTTGTGAGAATTGATAGAATGGAATACTTTCTTCCAATGCAATCCATCACTCTGACCTCAGGTATAATTAATGTTTAGGGACTTAGTCTGTGATTGAGGGGATAAGTTGAAGCCAGCAGGGTATTTAGCTTGATGAAAATACTTCAGAGGCTTAGATTTCTGGGCCTAAAGGTATTTCACAGACAAGCTGAAGTATTAAGGAGATACTTACTCGTCAAACACGACATTCTTGACTACATAACAGTCTTATGGTGATTTTCTCCTCTTCATTGTGAGATGAGACAAATCAGCTGCAGACTGATTTAATGTTTCGCTGACCTGCAGATTGAATTTCCATTCCCTCAGTTTTAATACCTTTCTTTTAAAGTTAAAGCCTCAGGTTGCAGCGGCAGTGTGTATTGGGTTGTGTCATACTGAATCACTTCTTACGCATGAATATGCTAATGGAGGAGGAAGGAGCCACCGGCTGTTTCACTCTCTTGTAACACCTCTGCTTGGAAGCTGGGAGTCAGTCAGCAGTTTGCTGCCAGCGTTGGCAGTAGCTCCTCTGAGGCCTGAAGTGTCCTAAATCCATTCCCACCGATCTTTGTAGCTGCTGATAAACTCCCTGCCTCTCTTCATCTCTGTGAAGTTATATATGGATACTTCAATAAGCAGCTGAAAAAAAGGCCGTCGAGGGAAGAAAAGTCCCGTGTAATTGTTCTCAGGGTYGGTCATTTCCATCTAAAACCTGAGATGTTGCGTATGTGCTTTTCTTTCTGCCTCACTTCACACCTATTCAAAGATTCTGCCTTTTTATTCAATAATTTACTAGTCCTCGTGTGACCTCCTCTGGTTTTGTATCCTAGTTAAACTGCCTCAGTCTCACAGTCAGCTTTAATGATCTTTATGCACCCAGTGATTGGAAATCTTCATCCCCCAGAGATGAACCCTTCACTTACTGTCACAAACATTGACCTCTCTACTGCTTTGTAAATTGACACGGCTTACCCAGGTGTGAAACATTTAAGTTGTTTGCAGACATGGGTCAGAGGCTTGGGTTAAATGGCTTCGAGGCAAATGAGAAGGAAAATGCTAACTGGGTGTTTTTTAAGCTGTTTTTATTCTTTTTCCTTCCAGAATACAACCTCCAGCTYGCCCTCGTCACAATTAGCACGTGTCATGTTTGTGATATTACATTTCTGATGTTATCACAAAGTCGTCTCTCAAAATGCATTAGCTCCCGTGCCAATATTTCCGTTACCATAGGAACAAACATGAAATCCCATCGGAGGAGCAGTGCATGACGGCGAGAAGCATACATCAGTGGACAAGTAATGTATTTTGCCCTGAACCAAACACTTAATCAAGAGCTTTTCCGTGCTTTTAGGGGTCACCGGGTCACCAAATAACCCAGCAGTTTTATGTAAACACCGAAGGCAAGGAAGAAAAAAATAAAAAAATAAGAAGCCGAGCTGGTGTAGGTTCATCTGCTAAACTGGTGTCATTCAAGTTGCAAAAAAACAAGCATCACAAGAAGTTTTGATGGAGGAGGATGAGAATAAAATTGATGGATGAACTGGTTGTTTGTTGGATTGATGGCTTGTTGGCTGCCTGGATGAATGGAGACCACCTTGATGGGGAAAGGCAAACAGAGGGTTGGTTCTTTGATGGATGAGTGGGAAGTGGGTTCATGGAAAGATGAACAACTTGGTTGTGGGGTTAATGAATATACGGATCGATTAACACAAAGATGAATGGATTGGTGAATTGAGGGCTACATGTAACGGCAGATAAAGGCTAAATAGATGAATGATCAAAGGAGGAGRAATGATTTCCACATCAGAAACGTCTTGTGAGACATGTGTGAAGCGGGAAGCCCAAAGACATCATGATTCAGAAATCCAAATGAGACAACCTGGAGCTTTTATACCAGCAGGTTGAATAAAAGTCTTGTTTAGATGCTGTGCAAACAATTCCACGCTAATTATCTTGACAATTCAATCAGGACAAGTGCAGTGACAGGAAAAGGACTTTGTTCCAACTCCTCACTGATAAACACACTCTCAATGCTGAACTCTTGCTTTTTTTTAAAAAAAAAATCACAAATAAATGCTTCTCGGCACCGAACAAGAGTGAGAACAATGCAGCTGCCACAGCTGAAATTATTTCCTGTCCTATTCTTCTTCCCTAATTCATGTGAAGTCACATTATTTCCCTAATG